CTTCTGCCTTCTTATCTGTAGAAACAGATAATCTCGTTAAAGAATACAACCGGAACTGGTACAAGTAAAAGAATTGTTAACTAGACCAGATGCTGGAATCAGTGCATAGGACTTAAGCATACAAGCAACGAAACAATGGTTATTTTAATTTGAAAATAGAAGACATCAATTAAGAAAAAAATAAAAGTTATGCCATACAAATGGCTTCCATGTATTAATGAAGAAACTGTAAAAGGACCCCAATTCTGTTTGTTTTATTTCTTCACATAATTTAATGAGAGAAGAAATTCAGCTCCGTATAAGTCCATATTCCACATTGGGCCCACAACGAAGCCCACAAGAGTTTTACCTACGCTTATGCTTTGTGGCTTTAGTACAATCTCATTTCGTTTCCTTCACACTGTTATTTTACAATAAACATCCATTCACTAACCAAAAGGCACAACGTGTGTGTAGAGCTGAAAAAGCGAAAGGAAAGACAAAAAGAGTCTATTGTCTCGATTTAACTGAAATAGCAACCTAACATAACTAAAAGACTACATAAGAGTCAACTGAAACTGAACATCATTGCAACTGAACACAAAAATCACAAAAGAAAAATAAAAAAATAACTTGCCAAAAAAGGATGGGAAAGATACATATCAACATATTCATGCTTATCCCACAGTTCCCAAGAGGTTTTCAGAGAAAAACTGTTGAACAAAAAGTTCAATAGAAGTCTAAAGCAATAAAAAACCTAGAATTTTATCACACCAGAATTGTGAAACATGCTTGAGACTCCTAAACATTCTGTCAAAAAAAAAAAAGTACCAAGATTAAACCAAGACTAAGACCTAAATAATTACAAAATTCAGCACATTTAAACAATGCTATATCATTTATATAATAGATATCGGATTTTATTCTAATTTTTATCACAAAAAAGTATATGCTTTAAGAAATTAATTTGATATTCCTTTCAAGAAATGTAGTTCCTGTCAATCTGATGTATTTAAAGGACAAAACAGAAGAAAAAATATGGTATTGAAATGACAAGAAAAAAAAAAATAACACAACTATATCCAGCCTAATATAACATGTCAGCTTAAGTTTTCTTTTCCATAGTGTTTATCGATTAAGATGACTACTGTCTGTGAGTCTTTTGACATTTTGGTAGGGTTAAAACTCGTCCTGACATGGCAACTGTCATAAAACATATTAGCAAGATTTGCAAGACATATCACCCGTTTTTTTTTTGATAAAAAGATATAATAGCTAAATTACCTCATCTAGAACAACATAACAGAACTAACAGGAAGACATCTAAATAAGCAATGGTAAGAGAACAAGAATGAGCTAACAGAGAGAACAATTACTATATAACATGATAAATAAATAAAATGCCAAACAAATGTCAATTATAAAAAATTAGGACATAATAAGATCTTGACATTCTGTGATTCTATATGCACAAATTCATATATTTTAAACACCATACACATTAAGAGATCAGTGTGAAGACCATTTATATGATTTGTGTTAACATGCCAATCCAAGCCCAATTATCACAATTATAGTCAACACTGTCAAAATATGGTCAGGGTTTCTAGTCATTGGATCCAATGCAGACCAAATTTCTCCAGAATTTGTTAGAGAATATAGAATATAGATATTTATAAAACAATGATTTGAGATTCTCCTAACATCTAACCTTTTAATAATCTCTGCAATGACTTAGAAAAGACTTTGATCCTAACCCCTCCTATTTTATTGAAAAAATTACTCATCCACACCACAATATAAGTCATTTTTAGAAACACCTCTTGATTCAAATTTAGGGTATTGGGTAAATTTTATGTTTTTTTTCCCATTTATATCCTTGTTTTTTTTTATTCCTTGTCTTTAAATGCTCCATATTTAAAGGCCATACACGTGTTATTAGAAAAACTCAAGGGCATAAATGGAAACCATGGACATTTTAAGAAAATAAAGATTCAACTAACATTTTTTCGTAAACTGTGAAATAGCTAACAATGACAAATATTATGCTCCAGAAGGAGTCGTAAATCTTAGCACAAGTATGGTAGGCCTATGCTCATGCAAAGTTCAAGTTCAAAAAGCATTTGAGCGAACAGATGTTTTGTAGATGATAATTAACCATTGTTAGTCTTATCCAAAAGTAATGAGCTTGGGATGAAATGTTGTTGTGATAAGCTAGTTATCAATTGTCTGAGAGCATGCTACGTTGCAGGCAGTGCCACAAATATCCCCGCATACAACACCTAACGATGCTGTAACTCACATCATGGATACATACAATACAAATAACAATAATTATGCATCATGTTGACAACATAAAGTGAACTACAAAACAACTTGAGTGAGCTATTTAAGGTCATGTAGATGGGCCTATCTCTAAATTTGTAACTGTAACACCATGAGTAGCTCATCTGCCAAAGGCCATCTTGGATAATCATGCATAGAATGCACAAAATGGCTAGGCCAAGACTTTCTACTGAACCCCACAGGGTTATCATATAATCCCTGGGTGACTTGGTTCATCCAATTCAGAGCACTTGCGAACGGGACCGGGAGGACAGAAAGGACAGAAACACAAGTTCAGTTCACCATACCAACGCTTACCCTATTATGACTTTAAAAAGTAGAGGAAAAATGCCAGAAAACAACAGAACGAAATGTAAAATTTATAAGTTCCGCTCCACCAGATTATTTATGGATCCATATCAACAACTTAAAAACTCCAGTAGGCAAGACTACACAAAATTATTCCATAAAAATCTATACACCGCACCCCACAACCATACGACAAAAGTCAAAAGCACAAGCGTCTCTGAAATCCGAAAATCCCAAACACCTAATTCTTGTTGGAAACCTCACTAATCAAATAACACATGTAGTTCTTATAAAACCGAAAATAGGAATTAAAAGACAATAGTCATGTTAAATGCCAATTACAAGAAAACACACAAAAGGCTGAAACAGAATGGAATACTAACCCAACGCTCCTGAAAGTGAAGTCTTGCCCCCCGAGCCTACCCCGCCATACCCGTAACCTTCATACCCGTCCCTCCTTAGCTTCTTCCCCCTGCTACCAGTGCCACCAATGTCATCCTCATCCTCATAATCATCATCGTAGTAATCCCTCCTGCCTTTCTTCACCAAAGCTCCAGCCGCAGGTGCAGCATTGGCCATATGATAATTATAGTGCGGCGGAACTGCCCCTCCGGCCGCCATTGATGAATGATTCACATAATGCCTAGGCCCAAGCGGCCCTCCCAGAATACTCCTCACCCGGCAGCAGAAAGTAAAACTCCTTGTCCCCAATTTGAAGCAAATCTTGGGAATCGAGTTTCACGGGTGGATTGCCCGGAAGGTGAAGGACACCTTCTACAAGACAACCATTCTTACCGAGAACCTCGAGGGCGAAACGACGACGCGTGAAGTCATAGAATATGCGGGCATGGTGGCGGGAGATGTTCATCCCGCCGCCAAGGCTGGATAGGTCAACGTCGACGCTGGATTTTTTTAGAATTCCGCCCAAGGATGATAGAATAGGTTTGCATATAGTACTCGAAGTCCTCGCCCTGAAGCTTGGCGAACCCGGCTTCGACATCGCCAGTGGCGGCAGTAGCCATGTTGAATTCGAGATAGCAAGAGCCAAATTAGGAAATCGGAGAAGAAATTGATCGGAGTCGGAAGGGAAAGCGACGAACAAGATTAGAGAACCAGTCCTCCTGGGATTCAGAGCGATTCAATGCTTTTGCCGTTTTGCGGACATTAACGAAAATATTAGATTTAGTTTTATTTTTCCCCAGCTATTTAAGGGTTAATTATCTTTTTAAGTGCAAATTAAAAGTTAATTAGTATTATTTAATTGCTAACTAAATTTTTCCACAAAATTCACCAAAAAATAAATAAAAAAATTACATTAAAATTCTATAAAAAATTAATTATTATTAATATAGTTTAGTTGTTAATAAATTTTATAATAATTAATTTTTTTATAAAATTTAATTATAATTCTCTTTCAAAATTTGATCTGTGAGATAGAACAGGACAATTTTAACCTTCACTCAGTGACAAACTAAAATTTTAAAAAAAAAGGTTACAATTTTTTTAAATAAATTAATTATCAATGAAAAAATTTCAATTTAAATTCTCAATATTATTAAATTATCAATTATCAATATCAATTAATTGAGATTTAATTAGAATCTTGGTAAAAAAATTTTTTTGTTAAATCCTAAAAGTAATAGAAAGCTTATTTAAATAGGTGACAAATAAGTGTATTTTATTTAAATCTATTTTAAAAACATACAAAAAAATAGAATGAAACGAACAAGTCTTTAAACTTTGTTTAAGGTTAAATAATAAACATAACAAAAGAAAAATAAACAAAACAATAATAGGCGAATAAAAAATTAAAAATTAATTAATATATATTTAAACTAAAATATTTTCTTTTTAAACTACGTAATAAAATATTAATTAATAATATATCATGATGTTTAGGTCATAGTACTTTTAAAATTAATGCGTTAATTATATAAAAAATAATGTGTTAAATTAAATTATAATTATAACTATAATTAAACCTCAGTTAAAAGCAAATCCGTCCGTCGTCCCTGATCTAGCGGGTCTGCTTCCACGCCCTCTTTGGTGGGGAACCTCAACGATTTTACTGTTCCAGATTTTATGTCCTTCATCTGATTAGCGGCGCTTTCTCGATTTTGCCTCCAATAGGTAGTTTATATTTCATCTACTTACTATCAAACAGTTGTTTCCTTTTGTTTCCAACGAAACATTGGAGTATGGGAATTTTACTGCTGTTTCTTGTCGTGTTACGTTGAAGTCAATGCATCTCAGTTTCACTAGTTGTAGTGCGAGATCAGTCCTTGTTTCAGTTGTCTTCAGGTAGGCATATGTTGAGGAAGGTTAAAGGAAGGAAAATTTTGAGGGACGTAGATTAGTTATGCCTGTGGATTGTGAATAGAAGATAACAGTCTGCCGTGTTTATTTTGCTTTTGGATTTCAAGGGAATTATCTGTTGGGACTTGGATTCCCTTGATATACGCGTTGTTAGCTAGCTTTAAGACTACAAGTCATGTTATCCTCAATAACAGGTGGTTGTGTTTGGGTTGGGATCTTTGTTTCTCAGTGATTTGACAGGTGTAGGGCTGCTTTTTAAAAGCAGTGCCCTTTTATCACTGATTTTTTTTTTTGTAGCTTTAATGGGAGTCGCCCAGAGATCAGAGAAGATTATTTGAAGTTTCCTTTGTATGCGTGAAGAAGAGTTGAAAAGGATCATCTGGAAGGATGGGAGAAGTGTTGTAGCATTAGCTGGGGTTAGTCGTGGAGACTGGGTGTCCAAAAACCCTCTTTTTGATTCACAAGTCACTTCAGCATTTCCCTTATGAGAGTTTTCTTCGTAATGATACCAGGTCATCTACATTAGATATGTTTTAAAACGGGATGGATGGGATGCCAATCTGATGCTTTCTGCAATTTATACAGGTCCTTGGAAATTTATCTCTGGACTATGTTATATACTGGTCACTCATTTCTTTTAGATTAAGAGATCGACTTCTAATCAGATTTTGTGAGGATATGTTGGGGGAGGGAAAATTTCTTTCATGGAGACTTTTCCATGCCTCCATTTCCTTTCTCCATTATATTATGCTTGGCTTCAGAATTATCATCTGATAGATGGGTTAAAGATCTGTTGGAACCATTGTCGTGGCAGTATCATTCACAGAATGCATTGGGACTTACTGTTTCTCTTGCTTCTTTCAGATCTCTATTGTCGACTTGAGAATTTGGTTTCTTAATCCACTTTTTTTTTTTTTTGCACATCATATTTTCATTTTCTTACACGTTCCCCTTATAGGGCTTGTTTCTCTTTGCATTCTAAGGCTTCTTCTTGCAGGTTCTAGGCCTGACAACACACTTTCTCCAGATACTTGTGTCATGGTGCAGGCCTAATTCTTATACGGCGCATATCTTTCTTCATTGTCCGTTGTCTGTCTTCAAGTGGACTAAATTGTATGGCTTCTTAGGAAGCAATAGGTTTACTCATTTACTTTTGAGCAATATCTTCAAACTAGGGGTTTCTGGTGTAAACGGTAGGCTATGTTCTGTGGTAATGAGCAATCTTTGTGGTTTTGTGGTGTATATGGTTATAGAGAAATGTGTATGTTTTCTGAGTTATCCTTGTTGGGAATGCAAAAAGATTTGGAGGCTTTTTGTTGGTTACAATTTTTTTTAATATTCTTTGTTTTTTCTGGTATAGGATGATACATTGTTCTCATTCTCTGCAATCCTCTTCCTTCTAATAAAATTTCCCTTTCTATCCCCAGAGCAAAAATTTAATAGAAGAAAGGCAGTTTTGGGTAATGTATTATTACTAGGGATTGAGGGATTACTTACTATCCATAATTTGAAATTTATAATGTGGTGTTTGGTGTTTGGTGTTTGGGTCTTGGGATATCTTACTTCTTATTTGTTTCTTACTTAGATTCCTTTGTATTGTTTCAGGTGAAATAGGATCGTGGAGTTTCATTTTATTTGGATTTGTTTGGTTCCTGTTGAAGGTATGTTGTCAATTTTAGGTGTTTACTCCTTGAGTCTAAACAAAGACTATTTGATCGTTCTCTTTCATTTTCCTTTGTTCGTTCTGGATGATATGTGCTAACTTTATATAATAACTGGGAACCCATGATCTATCTCTGTGGCCTTTTATGTTTGGGATCTTTGTATTTAATTCATGTAAGTGTCCTTATTATTTATGTTTCTGCTCCCAAATTTCAGGAAGACTTTGTTTTGAAAGCAATATAGGCTGTTTATAACTCTGAGCCTTAGCTGGATGTATTAGTCGATTTTGAAATAGGATAAGCTGTTGCCAACAATTTTAGCAACTGGCCTTTTAGCGTGGTGCCCTTTGTTAATCTCTTAAAGGGATTAACAAGCTCTGTTCTTGCACTGTTATGCTGTTCTATCTTCTCATTAATAAATTCAATTTTATCCCCAAAACACTTTTTTCCAATGATAAGATGAATATTATCCAGTTATTACATGAACATCTTGGTAGGATGGATCCATGGAATCTCCACAATTTTAAAGGGCAGCCCGGGAAAAAGATTATGTAAGTTAGATTCAATTAGCATTCAGTGAATCATTAACAAAATATATTGGTAGGATGGATCCATGGATCTCCCCCCTCCCCCCAACAAACCCAAAGGGCAGACCGGGAAAAAGATCGTGCAAGTTTGATTCAATTAGCTTTGAGTGAAACATTAAAAAAAATCTAAAAACTGGAATCATGCTGTGTTTTTTTCTTCCTCCCCTTTTTCTGTCAGAATAAACTCAGGCACCAAGGCTGATTTCAGATCTTTTTTTTTTTTTTTTTTTTTTTGGCCAAAGATTTCAGATAGATAAATGAAGCATATAGTGAAGATTATGACGTTGTTAATGGCCATCGGTGCATTATGGGTTGGCCTTCTACAAACTTCTGTACTTCCAGCGAGCCATACGTGGTTGGTTAGTGACTCTGTTTTTTTTTTTTTTCTTTTTCCGTGCTTTATTCTTTTTACATGTTAATTTTTGCCACATAATGCCATACTTCTTACTGCTCATCATGCCTTGTTTCTGTCTGTTGCCCAGCTACCGGTCTATTTTGTTGTGTCTTTAGGATGCTATGGTTTATTGATGGTTGGAGTTGGTCTCATGCGATTTCCAACCTGTCCTCAAGAAGCCCTCCTATTGCAGCAGGTAGTGGTTATTATTCGGGAAAACACATTAGTGGATCCTTGTACTTTGATTGTGTTTTTTTTTTTTTTTTTTGTCCTTATAGTTTTATTTCATTATTCCTAGTCTCTTTTGATTGACTTATTTATAATGTTAGTCCCTATAGTTTTAAAAAATGCATCTAAGGACCATGAGTTGTCATCGACATAGTTAATTTTGCTGATGCATGCTTCACTATGTTAATCCCTCTATTGATGTGTTCTTAATCCTGCTTTCTTCTCTCATATTTTCTTTAATCCAAATGTGCAAGAAAGCTTTTTTTGCTCCCTTACCTTTTATTTTTAATCATTATTTTTAGCAAATTTTTACTGTGTCAAGTGTCAATGAAGGGGTTAGCAGAGTTACAGTGAAATTAACTTTATCAATGCTAGCATAGGGCCATCATGCACATTTTTAAAACTATAAGGACTAACGTTGCAAATGGATCAAATCAAAGAAACTAGGAACAATGAAATAAATTGTATGGACTAAAAACAAAACACAATCAAATTACAAGGACTCATTTTTGTATTTTCTTTTGTTATTATTTTATGTCTTGATTAGATATTGCTATGTTGTCATTTTGTCAATCTCTCTCTCTCTCTCTCTCTGTTTTTTTTTTTTTTAACTTGCCAAGGCTGTGCCAGTGTATGTGGCCATGTGGAGGTTAATCTTGTGCATGACTGCACGTGTTTAGTTACTGAATATTAGAATGAGCCTGTATTGTCTATAAGTGGTCAAGGCTCCATGGACGTTAATATCAATCTCTTGCGTGACCTGTTGATCACGTGTGTGCGTTTAATGAATTTCAATGACATTCGGATTGTAATTTTTTTTTTTTTTAACAATAATGCATCATGTAATTTGGAGAGAAAATGACATAAAAAAAATTGAGATTGGGTTCTCTCTTGGGACAAGGTGGTCTTATGTGAAGAGAGAAGTCTAGTCATGACTTGTTATTTTTTTAAGTGCTGTGCGGCACCTGGTATCTTGGGCATGTCTCATACTGAGATGAGGGGGACTTGATGGGGCCAGACTAATCTGGATCAAGCCACGTGAAACCCTTTTGGAACCATTGAGCATTTAACACTGTTGTAGTACTTGGATTCAAACTCGAGATCTCTAATTAAATTGGTGCAACCTTTTAATCAGTGGAACCAAGCATTCTGTGGTTAGTTATGACTCAAGGTATTAATGCCTTGTGTGTCTTTCTCCACACAGGACCATTTTGTACCAGTGGAGAATCCACCTCCAAAAAAATTGAAATACATATAGGGTCACTTCTTATCTAATTCTTATTTTCTTTATCTTTCTCTAAATACACACTACGCATCTGTGAGCTAATCAAGATATTTAGATCCACACGATTCTAATGTTAGTCTTTCTATGCTGTGATATGCCACTATGGAAAGATACTTATTTTGCTTCTTTTTAGGACATTGTGGAGGCAAAGGACTATCTGAAGCAAAGAGGAGTTGATGTTAGTTCCAGTTAACTTTGTAAATGTCTTGAATTTTAGATTTTTTTTTAACTTTTTACCTTGACATCTAAAGTATACAAGGAGCATCACATTACCTCCTTCAGCAACTTTGAGTTGTTTTGGAAATGGGTTTACACTTACACATTTCTTTCACTAATTGCACAAATTCTAAGTATTTAGAAAAAATTCAAATTCATTTTTAAATGGGTATTGGTAGTTTTTTCTTTTTTCCTTTTCGTTCGTTTGTTTGTTTGTTTGTTTTTTTTTTTGAAGACTCAAGCATTAACTTTGGAGAGATTTGAAATATAAGGAAACAAAGAAAGACAGAGAACAAAAAATATTCCTTTAAAATATATTTCACGTGAAAATATATTAGATTTTTATTAGATTGACAAAATAATTTTAATCTAAACTATTTAACTCAATTTTTGAAAGAATTTTTTAAGAAAAAAGTGTTCAGGTATTACTTAGGTTTCATAATTAATTTTTTATTCAACTTCAATCTGCACATTTTGATTAAAATTTACAGAAAATTAGTAATTTTTAGATTTGATAAAGATTAGTGATTAAAATATTATAGTTCTTTTTTTTTTTAGCAAAAGTTAAAATATTATAGTTCACTTAATTTATGTTGCAATTAATATTGTCAAATTTTTAAGTTAATTTTATTGTTTTTAGACTTTTAGCATATAAAATTATATTAATTCACTTGTAAGCTCAAAATATATATAAATTTGATTAAATTTATGAGTTGATTTTTTAATTTTATTGTTTTTATATTTTTAACTTGTAAAATTATGTTAGCTTTTTCTTAAATTAGGATGAGATACAAATTCAATTAAATTTATTAAACTCATTAATTTTTTATTAAATTGAGCAAGTTAAGTATATATTATATAAAACTCGGTTTATAAAAGTAGTAAGACCTGATTCAAAAAAAAAAAAAGTTAAAGAGAAAAAAAAACTAATATTAATAAAAAATAAAATGAAAATACAAAAAATAAGTTGCACCATTTTAAATTTTTTATATCGGATAAGATAATCTATTAATAAGAATGTAGATAAATTTAATTTCAATGATTTATATTTATAATATATTTAAATTAAATTATATTTTTTATTTTTATTATTTAATCATACATTTTTAAAAATTATTTATTAATAAATTTAAAATCTAACTAGTTTACAATCTAAATCTACCATTTTAATTTATATTATAGCCATGAATTTATTTACACTGTTACAACCTTGATTATAATATTGTTTTGCCAATAAATTTATGTTACAATATTTACTATTATGTTTGCATTGATAAATGATAAATCTAGTAACTATTCATTGATTTTGAATATAATTAATCTTATGTGGTATAGTTAATTTATAAGATTAATTAAATAAAATTGATGTTAAATGTAATTGTAAAGTGAATTGAAAATAATGAAAATTGTATCTCTATTACATATGAAAATAAATTATAAAATTACAATTATGATTTTTTAAAATATTTAAATGTCTTTATTATATGCTAAAATCAATTATAAAAAAAATTAAGACTTTCACTGTTTTTCAATTTAACTTTTTAATTATAATTCCTTAAAAATTTATCCAAAACCAATGTAAACTATATTTTATAACTCATAAGTTGGAGTTTATAATTAATTTTGACAAATACAAATGTATATGAATTTTTTTTAAAAAAAAGCATAATTTGGAGTTTATAATTAATTGACTTTGACATGTATTGCACGCCAAGATTAATTATTGACCTCGAAATCATGATTTTTTAAAGATATTCAATCACTCATATTATATTTTAAAATTAACTACGAATTATAATTCATGAATTTTTTTAAAATTATTCAAACGTTTTTTAAATATCAAAATTATTTATAAACTCAAAATTACATAATTTACTATTCCCTGCTTTTTATTTAATTATTTAATTATTAATATTTATTTAAAAATCATATAAATTATAAATTATAATTTTAAGTTCATCATTAATTTTTAAATGTATGAGCATAATATTTTTTAAAGATATGACTTTAAGTTCATAACTAACTTTAACGTAAGTATTTGAATACTTTTTAAGAATTTATTATTTAGCGGAACAAATAAACTCTCGAGGGTCCGAACCCTTAGAGCATCTCAGACTGTTAGACGGCGCTTAGCAAGCAGCTTTTGGAGTTCGGAGTTTCACCGCTCCGCCGGACGTCGATAAGCTTCAGAGTTTGCAAATACTCTTCGTTCTGTTCTCTTCTGTAGATCAGGTAGATATTTCGTCTTTCTTTTTCTCTCTTCTTGTTCGCTTTTTCACTCTCATGACACTTGTTCGCGGCAACTCGTCCGAGTTTTGGTTTCTCCTTTCCTTTTTCCTCGTGCTATTGTAGCTTCATTACACATTTGAGTTTTGAGTTATGGTTTCCGTTTACACACATACATATGTATTAAAGTTAGCGTAAGGATGTAACTGTTGGATTTTCTTTTTGGGCCACTGGAAACTTTTGATTGCTTGAAACTGGTTTTGAAATCAAGTGATGGGTGCTTGGGCATGGTGGGAGAATCTATGGCTCGGGCTTCTGTAGTTCGAATGTCTGAATTATATTTAAAAAGCTTTATTTGCAAACTGTCATATTAATCTTGGTTTCGATAAATAGTTGATTATGTGTGTGTTTGTTGTGAAATTTAAGTAAATTTCAGCTTTTGTCTTTCTGTGGTCTGAAAACTTGTTAAATTTCTGCTAGTGGTCCCTGCTTGCTGTGTCTTGGCTTGATTCGAAACTTAGGCCTGAGTCTTATTGAATTTGCTGTTTGTGCATCTCAGTTAGATGTAGAAATATTAGTCCGACTGATTCAAAAGAAATATGGGTCAGAGTCTGGATCATGATTGATAATGATTACTCTTGCTGTGGTTTGGTTTAACTTGACGACAAGGACCATGACCATGTGCTAGTCTCTTTTGATATGCTGAAATCGTGTCTAAAGTCCTTTTTATATGTGTTGGGAGCTGAAAGATATCTCTTTTAGTTAGAAAAGATATTTCTTTTAGTTAAATGCTCTGTTGAAATGTGGTATAAATCCTAGTTCTTTTAAGTTCTTTGTCGAAATTGGATTTTTTCAGTTTACTTGCAGTTAGAGTTCCATGACTATATTGAAAGCACTAACATGCTTGTTATGCTACATCCATGCTTAAACATGGACACATTTGTTCTAAACTTGTCCCATCTTCTTCATCATGGAAGCATTGTTTTCCCACATGACCTGAGCATTGTATGCCTATCTAATTTTTGATGAAATGCTGTATGGATATCTGGTATAAAATTTTTAGTTCAATAAATCACCATCAAAGGGGTTTCTCAACTTCCTTTGTTTGAGAATTTAAACCTAAAAGAAATAACCTTTCAACCTTTTGATACACTATCTGTAATTAACTTCAAACTTGTTCACGGAAATTACTATGTGTATTTCAAGTATTGGCTATTCCAATTGTGTCATTAAGAATATGGATGTTCATGAACTGGTGAATAAGTATTATTCTTTCTGTTATTGTTAATGAGGCTACACATATATTTTAAAGGTCTCTGGATAATCTTTTTTGAACATTTATTGACGGGAAAAATATAAAAGCGAAATCAATTTGTTAAAACACTTCAATAAATTGCTTTTCTGAAATGTTAAGATGTTTTCTTGTAGGCCAGCTTTTAATGGTTTTGGGTATTGTCGCTTCTTTCTTTAATCCAATCGTTCTTGTTGCAGATTTTTTGCATAAATTTTATTTTTCCACTTATTATGTTTAAATCACAGGCCTAGTTTTTTTGACATTTTTTTCCACGAATCTGACCCATGATTAGGTCTATTCGACCCCACCCTAACCCAGCAAATTTGTGGCCAAAGGCACTTGGTCTCCAAATAACAGTGAAACTTCTGCTTGCTGCTTATACACTTGTAGTTAGTATAGATGAGGTTGCTGACGCACAATATGCTATCATCCAACATAAAGGGTGTGACGAATGGCTTCCCATTGCGCATTGAAGCAGAGAAAGTGGTAGAAAAGACAGTGGAGATGAATGCTGACTTTCTGAAAAAGATGTTTGAGAAGATACAGTGGAAGGCATTTGTTGATGCGTCTCGGGCCATGGGTTACACTGAACTCCCAGAGGAAGTTAACCCATCCATGCTCGAATCTGATGAGTTTCTCAGCAGGTTTCATCACGCTCTTTTTGAACTTCACCTTGAAGAAGGTGCACTTGTTTGCCCAGAAACTGGACGACGATTCCCCGTCAACAAGGGAATCCCAAACATGCTTCTTCATGAGGATGAGGTGTGAATTAATTTCACTAGTTAATTAGCTTTGCCTTGTTATCAGTGAATCTGCTTATTCAGTTTTCAATTAGGTGCTACTGAGGGTCTCACTTTGAGCCAATAGAAGCCTGTTTTTAAGTACATTGAGAATTTGCTATAGATGCTAGGTTGTAATTGGTCTTCTGCTCGAAGATGTTAGAAGTTCATGCTTTTTTCCCCTTCTAGTAGAAGTTCTCTAGCATGTGACATCAAAAAGATGGCTTTGTGTTACTTTGTGTTCCCATGCATGGGTGAATGAGAAAAAGGATTGCACTATTATACAAATTGATTTTTCTATCTCTTCCGTGGAAGGTTTACATGGGTATTGAAGAGAATTACACATAATACTGCTACTACTACTGCAAAATATGTTTAATTTAATCCAATCATAATGACTTGAAAGCTTGCTATTTCATAGTTGAGTTTGCACTGACATGGATGCATATTGGCTAGTCTTGAAGATGCTCTGGCTCAGCCTACTCATCTAAATGCCTTTTGTTCATGAACGATTAAGTGACTATTAATAAGCTATTGTTGCAATTCTATCTCCGATGTGTCATGATTACAGCTACAAGTATGTTTTCCATGATTGATTCAGTTTTGCACCTTAACCAGTTAAAGTATGAAAAGTTGAAGCCTACCGTTTCATGCAGGGTATAAGAAACTAGAATAATTATTCCTTATTTGAATTTTAAACATATCAAATTCAAATATTTTGTGGATAATTCGTTATTCTTCTACTCTAATATGAATTTATAAGTTGGTAGAGAAACACGATTCATAAATGCGGCTTAATTAGTAAAATCTAAATTAAAATTTACAACAATTATACAGCACTTGATTGGACCATCAAAATTAATGGGCTTTGGGAGATATCTTGTTTTTTAATATCCTTTGAGTTTAGAGGCATGTTTTGATCTTTGTAAGTTTTTGGGATTTAACTCACCTAAATTTATATATATATATATATATATATATATATAAAATTATAATTGCTAGCTGGTTGGTTTGCTTGGTTTTTTTTTTTTTTGGGTCAATTAATGTCAAAGCTTCAATTGAGTCACTACAAATAAAAATTTTCTATGTCTATGCTCTCAACAAAGATCCAAATGAATAAAGATTCCCATTTGTTGATGAATTTCATTTCTTTTTCTTGTTCTGTATATTGGTAAAAATAATTAGATTGAGTACTTGAAACTGTCATTTGGATTAATTAATATGGTGAACATGACTTCACTTGTTGAGTTTTTATACATTTTTCTTGTTCGATAACAATAAAATGAATGATTATTGTTATGAAAACTCAATAAAGTCTTAGAGTCTAGTAAAATTTTTATTTTATCAACCTTCTTTAAAATCACAAATGTGCTTGACATTGTCATTTAATCATAAATCACATAATATTAAATTCATGTGCTCTTTCCAATTATAAACCTTTGATTCACTTCAATTGTTTAATATAAAACTTCTTTTCACAGCATCAAAGATGGTGTATGCTAATAAATTTTGAATTTTTTTTGTCATGGGCTATTACTTTCTTTTTAAAAAGCTAGTTCACCACCTATATGCTCTATACTTTTTCTAAATTCTTCTGACGTGAGACATGACAGCTCTCTTGACTAATCCGTGACACTTTTGTCATGGGTGACCTATTAGAAGGCTCATCAATTGGACAAACTTGAGTTTGACTTTGGTATCACTTTGTTTTAAAATCATTGTTCTTTCCCAAAAAAAAAAAAAAGCTCAATGAAGTGGACAACCTATCCATTTATATGCTCAGGACCCTCCTCGTGTTTTTCTGACGAGGATGTAGCACTTTGGTTCCATAGTTCATGCATTACCTCTTATATGGTATTAACCAAATTTAATATTATGAGCTCTCTATTGGCACCTCAAACTCTAGTTACTTTTAGCCCTACATAATAATACATTTTGGAGTCACCATTCTGCTCAATATCAAATTGATTCATTCTACTGACCCAAAAAAAAAAAGAATGGAAAAAAGAAAGGAAAAAGAACTCATTCATTTAGAAGAAATCTACATCTTGAGTGAAATTTTCTTATTCACCATAACCAGTGTTTGCATCTGTTCCAAAAAATGTAGTTACAGTGCAAATAAGGAAATCAGATGGGCCCATTGATTCATAAAAAAGAAAAACAAGAGGAAAAAAAACTATACTCTTCTACTGTTTTCTCTCTAATGCTTTCCGGAGATTGGGGGTATCAATATATCATAATATATAAATCAAAACAGCCATCTTGGTGAAGAATGAACAGAAGTTTGCCGGGGTCTGACTGTATTATCCATGTTGTTGCGCTTCATGATGGAGGATACAGTGGGGCTGAAGTAGTCATTACTCCTCTGAGAAGTTGCCCCTTGTGAATACATTTTTTTCCCATTGATGAAGCTCCTCTGGTTTTCCAGCATCGTCCTGCGTGCTGCTGGATTCCTTAGGTGAGACCCCCATCTGTTATAACCAACACAACTCTGGCTCCTTACTGATTGAAACTTCAACTCTCTGGGGCTTGTATAGTTGCGACTCTCGGCAGTTTCTGCAGAGTACATAGTCTCTTCTTCGCTGCTGTATTCGTGGTGCATGTCTAATACTTGCATCGGTGACGAACTAGATTGAACCTCGCTTGGCGCTCCATTCACAGAACCCGTTGAGGAAACCTCTACAACAGGAGTTGCTGGTCTCCTGTTTTGGTTTTGTTCTCCTTCTAACTGGTTGTCTGATAAAGATTCCTTGGTACAATGTGGATGCAGTTCTTGATGAGATGGTTGTAAATCCGTAGGTTTGGTAATCCTCGGGGGAAAATTGATATCCAAAAGCTGTACTGGCATATTTTCCTTTCTCCTCAAAGGATTAGAAGTTAATCTTGGTGATTCATATATTTCTGGAGTGGGAATTCCCTGGACATGGGCAGTGTTAGGATTTGTGATCAAAGTCTCTTCAACAGTGTTAACTGCAGCAGCAGAAGAGCTTGGTCCTCGATCATTTGTTTTTGACACGTTAATTGATGAAGACCCGGTGCCATCATTATTGTCAGCCTCTGTTGACTTGAAAACCTGCCGCTGTGTGAAGGAAGTGCATGAATGCTCGCTCTTCAGGCCGGTAGACATCAACCGAATTATGGGCAATTTTGGTTTGTTAAGCTCATCAAGGCTGCCTTCCCAATGCTGGTTTAACCAATCACATATGACAGGAATTGGGATACCGAACTGCATAGGGAGATCCTTCTTCCAAGAGGTTGAGGATGATGAAGTTGAAGAGGATTTAGTATTTGGAGATGAGGATAATTTCATTGGATCACAAATCATAAATGCTAGATTCCCATGTACATCAAACCCAGCAGATCCTGGCCTCCATACAATCCCATCAGTTGACAGTTTTATAAGATTGTCAGTCGCAATGACTACCTTTCCCTCACCAACAGTAAGCTCTTGTTTATCTGTGTAGCCCAAAAGGTAAACTGCACTTCCGAGATCCAGATTAACTTTGGAACAGGTCTTCAGGTAGGGAGGGCATTGAACCTGGGTATTTGATTCCCCATCCGCATCATCTATACCCACTATTGTAAGATCTAATACAGAGCTTGTAATGAAAAACCTGAAAAGTTCGAACAAGTACAATAAATGCACTGCTCATAATATAATCAGTTGAAGGGTAGCAGCAGAAGTCATAGTGCCTAATACAGATCCCACTTTCTTCATTCAGTCATGTACAATAGGAGAGCGAAGCATTGTCATTTTTTAATTTTCACCAATTAAGAAAGTCTCAGGAATGCACAATCATTGTGACTCACTTAGTTTACTTTTAAAAAAAAAAAAAAGACTCGCTATTTAGAAGGGGCAATGCTGCATGAACTGAAACGTGTTGTGTTAGCTCAGAACTATTAATCGTCCACCAATAATCACTGATGGCCAAAGAACTATTTTGACTATTTTTCAGCTACGCAGCCACGGTGAAGTACTGAACATGCAACTGTTCTCCATTTTTATGACATAAGCAAGAAGACTAACTTGAAATAGTGAGTGAGTGCATGTTTGGTGATAAGAATTGGTTATCCATATAAGCCAATGTAACCTATAATTTTGCATATTAGTTAAACTTTCTGAACAAAAGCAGGTAATAAGAATTCATTATCCATAGATGACCTAAGCTGATCCATGCCAACGTAATAGCTACCTTTGATATATGAATTATAAGTCAAACCAGTTATCTAAAAATCCTACACTATGGCTCTAGGCACTATGCCGCTTGTGAAGCTTTGCAATTTCATTTAGCTTATGAGTTACAAGAGTTTTGTTCTGTTTTGTTGGTGGCAGTGGTAGGTGTATCTTGCAATACATATGGATAGGGCAATGGTAGCCCTAATTTAAGAGATATTGCAAGGGTTGCCACTGTAAAGTTCTGCAATCATTCCTTTGGACAACCAAAGGTGAATGACTTAGTATTTAGTTAGTATGACAGTATTTCTGAAGCTTTGTTACAAAAGTTTGTTAAAGATTGATGTATTTTATAGTTATGAAAAAAAAAAAAAAGATTGATGTATTTTATAATTTAGGTACAAGTACTTGTAGTGATTTATGGCATGTTAACATCAGTTTTTACTTGTACCTTTAATGCGAGTTGATTTTCTACACACACACACACACACACACATTAGTTAGTCAATATCAATTATACAACAAATTTTTTAACTGCTGTACTTCCACTTAGCATTACGAAGCCCTTGAAGCTATAAATGCATGAGCTATTTAAGTTAAAAGGAGAGGACATGCGGCAAAGCGATTGCGTAATCAAGTGGGAAAATACGTGAATATGTATCATGAGAGTAAAATTCATCACAAATGGAAATGAAATTAAGTATACGACACTTTGGACAAGATAATGAATTGGACTTTCTATCAATGACAGGCATGATTGTAACCACAAAGTCTATGAAGCACCATTCACTGGGAAACTTCGATTCCATTATGTAATCAGGAAGTCAAATATATGTTAAAATAATACCCAGACCAACCCAACCAAATCAATTGGTATCTGGAAAAACTTATAGAACACGTCTCTTAATTGAACAACATTAATATAACTAAATCAGGGTTTAAAAATGGACTGTGTCATAAACACAAACTATAAGAAACTGTGTCTTTTCAGGCATTTTCTGTTATAAACCCCAATAGAATTGAATATTATTTATGATAAAATTAGAAAGAATCTAATACTGAAGTGTTTTTTCCCTATGTGATTAATTGTTGTAATGCTTCATAGCAGATAGTA